AGAGCAGAGTTTGGGTCATTGAACCATTCCGCTCACAATTCATTTTCTCCTTAAATTTCTCTATTCTCATGACCTCAACTGTCAAGGAGGTGCCTCAGATCTGTGCTTTGTTCTTCCTGGCTCCTGGTCTCGAGAATGTGTCTTTGCCGATCAACTAAGTCCATCAGGGTGTCTCTCAGGCTTCGCTACTCCACAGCACTACTCGATGACTCCAAATAGCAGTCATTTCTGAACTGTTCCCTAGGACCCTTCTCTTTCTCACACATCCAGACACCAGCTTCTGTCCCCTAATTCCACTAGCTGCTTTGTTTGCTGAGGATTCTCAGGGCCTAGAACATCTGACCCCTAGTAGGAACCTGCTTTTATTGAATGAGTTCATCTGTCCCCTCCTCTTCATCTTCACTGCCATGGAGGTAGTATCCAAAACCCTGTTTCTTTAGAGGATTATGTTCATAGCCCTGAACTAGTCTCACTGCCTCTAGTCATCAAGCTCCCCTTGGCGTTTCTCCAATCCGTCCTATACCAAAACCAACCAACCTGACCGCCATCAGTCAATGCAGACTCCGAACGACGCTACAGGGCAGTAAGAACTGCTCCTGTGAGCTTCTGAGACTGTCACCCCTTAGAAGTAAGGATGGTAAGACATCGTCTTACACTTTGGACGTTATCGGGATAGATCAGTCCCTGGAAAAGGACATGTTTTATAAAGTAGGTCAATGAAAGAGAAAGGCCCTCAATGAGATGGATCTACACAGTGGCTGCAACAATGAGCTCACACATAACAAATGTGAGGATGGACACGACAGGACAGTTTTGATCTGTTGGACGTAGGGTCATTATGAGTAGGAACTGACTCAAGAGGATCTAACAATAGTATTGATTATCTTCTATTTTCCTTCATTTTTTTACTTCCCTTCCTTGACTTACTGCTCTGGCTAGGACTCTCAGTACAACGCGGAGTACGAATAGAAGCCATCCTTGTGCTTTCTGTTCCCAAGAGAACTCCTCTCTCCATTGGAAATGTTTGCCTCTTGCTTGCTTCCATCGAGTCAGTGCTACCTCAGTGACCCCGTTGGTTTCCAAGATTGCAACCATTTACAGGACTAGAAAGCCGTCTTTCTCCCAGAGAGCAGCTACACTGCTGACCATGCGGACTGCAGCCCAATGTGTAACCACACCACCAGGGTTTAGTTCTCTGAATATTTTGATACAGTATCTTTTAATAAATTGGTCCATTTCATCTATCCAATATGTGAGCACTGAATCAGTCCCCCTTTACTACTTCTAAAATAGGATCACTAGTAATCACTTTTTGCATTTCTGATCTGTCATTTGTATTTTCTTTTTTCCTTGGTTAGTTCAAAAACCCCAAAAACCAAACTCTACTATCCAGTCAATTCTGACTCATGGCAACCCTATAGGGCAGGACAGAACTCTTAATGGGAGTAGAAAACCTCATCTTTCTTCCTCGGAGCTACTGGTGGTTTCAAACTGCTAACCTTGTGTTTAACAACCCAACAGTTAACCACTGTGCCACCGGGCTAGCCAAATCAGAGCTTTATTAATTGTATTGATAAAAGACTAGCTTTGGGTTTCATGAATTTTCTCTATTGATTTCTCACTAACGATTTGAATGATCTCTGGTTTTGATTTTCCACCTGTTTTAGGTTTATATTGCTCTTCATCTTGTTTCCTATGATAAAAACTTATTAAGAGATTTTCTTCCTACTATATACATTCAATGTTATATGTTTACTTCTAAAGGAAATAGAGGAAAGAGGTAAGAGACAAAGGGCATTTAGAGATGTCTAAATAAGGGCATGTACATATGTAAATATATTTATATATGATATGGAAATAGATCTATGTGCATATATGTGCATATATGTATAGGTTTAGCATTAAGGTAGCAGGTAGCAGATGGACATTGGGCCTCCACTCAAGTACTCCCTCAATGCAAGAACTTTGTTCTATTAAACTGGCATCCCATAATGCTCACCTTCCCGACACGATCAATCGCAGAAGACAAAGCGGGTGCATAAGCAAATGTGGCAAAGAAAGCTGCTGGTGCCCGGCTATCAAAAGATATAGCGTTTGGGGTCTTAAAGGCTTGAAGGTAAACAAGTGGCCATCTAGCTCAGAAGCAACAAAGCCCACATGGAAGCAGCACACCGGCCTGTACAATCACAAGGTGTCGAAGGGATCAGGTTATCAGGCATCAAAAAACAAAAAATCGTATCATTGTGATTGCGGGGGCGTGCAGATTGGGGACCCAAAGCCCATCTGTAGACTACTGGATGTCCCCTTACGGAAGGGTCGCAGGGAGGAGACAAGCCAGTCAGGGTGCAGTGTAGCAGAGATGAAACACAACTTTCCTCTAGTTCCTAAATGCTTCCCACCCACACCCGCACCCACTATCATGATCCCAATTCTACCACACAAATCTGGCTAGATGGGAACTGGAAACACAGGGAATCCAGGACCGATGATCCCTTCAAGACCAGTGGTGAATGACAATACTGGGAGGGTAGAGGGAGGGTGGGACAGAAAGGGAGAACCGATTAAAGGAATCTACATATAACCTCCTCCCTGGGGGATGGACAACAAAGTGGGTGAAAGGAGACGTGGGACAGTAAGATATGACAAAATAATAATTAATAAATTATCAAGGGTTCGTAAGGGAGAGGGGAGTGAGGAGGGAGTGGGGGAAATGAGGAGCTGATGCCAGGGCTTCAGTGAAGAGCAAATGTTTTGAGAATGATGAGGGTAACAAATGTAAAATGTGTGTATGGATTGTGATGAGTTGTATGAGCCCCCAATAAAGTGATTTTTAAAAATATATATTAAAAAGTTTACTTCTAAGCACTGCTATTGCAGTAACTTATAAACTTCTAGAAACGCTATTGTCCTTTTCATTTAGTTCAAAATGGAGTCCAGGATGGTGCAAACGATTCTGCCTACTAAACAAAAGGCTGGCAGCTCAAATTCGCCCCAAGGAGCCTCAGAAGAAAGGTCTACAGATCTACTTCCGACGGACCTGTCACTGAAAACTCTACGGAACCCAATTCTAGTCTGAGACACAGGGCTCATCATGAACTGAAATCAACATTTTAACTGGCTTTGTTTTTTTCCTGATAGCTTCCGTTAGAAACTCCTCTGATAGCACTAACTCCCTCGTTCTACCAAATGCTCTGGACATATTTCATAATGGTTATATCCCAAAGGCAAACTTCAAAACGGTTCCATTTCCCTCTCATTGACTGTATAACATGTGGCAATTTTCCTCTAAGGTTAGGCCACCAGGTCTATTTGTGACGCAGAGACTCAATGTAATCTTTACAGGAGCACCTGCTGGGTAAGTTCATAAGGCCAACCTTTCAGTTAGCAGTCAAGCACTGTAATGCCAGGTCTAAGACTTAAAAACAAACAAGTTGTTCTCCAGGACTCCTGACTCATGGCAACTCCATGCTCCTCAGAACTGTTTTTGTGGGTTTTTCAATGGCTGACTTTTTAAAGGGGGAACGCCAGCCTTCCTTCCCAGACAATCCTTCATGGACTTGAACCTCTAATTGCAACTGAGTACATTAATAGCTTCCATCAAGAGACTCCAGACGCAATCTCCAGTAACTCATAAGTTATAATTTAGGGTCCTGCAGTCTCTGTTCCTGGTAAGCCACTCTAGGTTATGTATGATTCTCTACATTCATCTGTTTCTATAGTTCAGGCAACTGATGGTTAGATCTGGGACCCCAATTCTCTAATGGATCTAAGTCCCTTTCCTTTTGTTCAGCTTTTGTCTTGTTATGAGGTCAGGAGGGATGATTTTCAGGCTTTCAACATGTTGGAACTAAAGCCAGAAATTACATTCCCCACACCCCCTGATCATTTTCTCTACAAATCTAGGGAGGGGAGTAGTCTTGCCCAACTTCTTGCTGTTAAATGACGAGCCCCTCTTCTGTTTTTCTGCATCTGCAAGTAAGAATTACACTGTCTACTGGCTCTGTGACTTGAGTGCTTAGAGAACAGACATTGTGGCTTACCTCTGTATTTCCAGTACACTGTATAAATCCAAAGCTACTGAATGAAAGGGAAAAGGTGGGACATTTTGACTAATTAAAAACAAAGTACTAAGGTAAACAAGCGACCATCTAGCTAAGCACACCAGCCTGTGTGATCACGACGTGTCGAAGGGATCAGGTATCAGGCATCAAAGAACAAAAAAATCTTATCATTGTGAATGAGGAGGAGTGAGGAGTGGGGACCCAAAGCCCATCTGTAGGCAACTGGACAAACCCTTACAGAAGGGTCTTGGGGAGGAGACGAGCCAGTCAGGGTGCAGTGTAGCAACGATGAAACATACAACTTTCCTCTAGTTCTTAAATGCTTCCTCCCCCCCACTCCCCACTATCATGATCCCAATTCTACCTTACAAATCTGGCTGGACCAGAGGATGTACACTGGTACAGATAGGAACTGGAAACAGGAAATCCAGGACAGATGATCCCTTCAGGACCAGTGGTGAGAGTGGCAATACCGGGAGGGTGGAGGAAAGGTCAGGTAGAAAGGGGGAACCGATTACAAGGATCTACATATAACCTCCTCCCTGGGGGACAGACAACAGAAAATTGGGTGAAGGTTGACGTCGGATAGTATAAGACATGACAAAATAATAATAATTATCAAGGGCTCATGAGGGAGGGGGAAGCTGGGAGGAAAATGAGGAGCTGATACCAAGGGCTCAAGTAGAAAGCAAATGTTTTGAGAATGTTGAGGGCAACAAATGTACAAATGTGCTTGACACACAATAGATGTATGCATTGATTGTGATAAAAGTTGTATGAGCTCCCAATAAAATGATTTTTAAAAAAGAAATATGTTCTAAGATCAATTGAGGTGATGTAACTTTTCACAATATTATTTAAGTCATTGAATCGTATGAATTATATTTCAATGAAACTGTTAAGCTGTTAAATTTTTTAAAAAGTACTATTTTCATTTGGCTCATTTCTCCATTTATTAGAATAACCACATTTGGAGAGGCACAAAGCACTTAAGTTTTACTTGACTACAAAGTTATCACAAATGCCAAACTTTTTAGCCAGTTATTTCTCCATTTAAAGAAAAAGGTTTCAACACATCTGAGTCAGCTTGAAACACAGAGGCCCTAAATATATGGGAACTACATATTTGTAAATGCTTGTATTTCCTGCTCTAATAATGTCTTTAAGTAGAATCCAGCATAAATGGGATTGAAACGTGTAAGGTCACGATGCAAATGCTTTGGAGACAGGTGAATCAATCTGTACGACACGGGAAAGGTGCAGTGTGCACAGAGCTTTGCCGGGCTCACTGAGCCATCTGGGCTTCCATGGCTTGTGCTGTCCATTCGGGTGCTGTCTGACTGATCTTCTCCAGGAGGTTGTTCACTTGGAAACACAGTGATTGGATCTGCTTGTCCCATGTTGGCAAGGCTTCTCGTGCTAAAGAAGACGGGAATAATGCACACAATCGGAATTATACCTTAATATACAAAGCAAATATAAGCTGAAAGATAAATGTAGTCATATTAATTTTTCATTTTACTCCCAAACTCTTGGTTAATAAAAGTCAGATAGTGAAGCTACAGTTAAGAAACATACCCAAATTACTGGCACATAATATAAACCCACACACAGAGACACATGAAAGCATAAAACACAACCCACCAACCTCAGGCCCAACCACAACACAAGGCAGCCTTATAAAAGCCTATTAAAAGTTGCCAGTGTTTACTGATTCATACAGCACTGCCACCTACTGGGGAACACAAATCGGTTGATATATTTTGTATATCATGGCTGGCTCTATTATGTATGATAGATATCTTAACATTCAAGACCTCTCTCCACTTTAAAATCATCTTTGGATCCACCAATTTCTGTCTGCTATAAATGTCTCTTTAGAAATTAAAAGTGGGAAGGAAATGCCATTCAAAATAGCATCAAAATGTATAGAATAGGCACAGAACCAATGAGGGTAAGCAGGAACCTCAAAATCCTACATAAAAAACATTAAATAATTTGAACAGACACAATTATACTCACAGATAGAAAAACTGCAATACATAAAAATATTATTCCTTCCCTATTTAATACATAATTTTAAAGAAATTACCAAGATAGTTCTATTTTTTTCTGCTTTCTAAACAGGAGAAAATGATTTAAAGTTAATATGGGGAATTAACATTAGACAATACCCAAAACAAAATTTAGTGGCGGAGCAGGAGGTGAAAGCTGTCTTACCACACAGTAAAATGTATTATAAATTTATCTATTGCCAGGTAGTTATCACTCAGTGGAACAAAATCAGAGCCCAGAAATAGACCTAAATATATAAAAGAGGTTTCAAAAAGTTTGTTAAAAATGCCATTCTCTTTGTATTCCATTGTTCCTTTTGGAAGCCCCTCCTAAGTGGCATTTTAATAGATGTCACAGACAGTATGCTTTACTTAATGATGACTGTATAATTATATACCCATCTAGAAAACAAATTCTACCCTAGAGTCTAGACTTCTACCCTAGAACTGGGGAGAGGAGGGAATGCTCTAAGATAGATATAGTGGTGACTGTACAATTTCCCCTTGATATGACTGAATGAGTGAACTAGTCAATAACATGGTATGTAAATTATGTGCCAATAAAACTGTTGGGAAAAAACCGGAACTGTAAAGAGACTAAAATTTCTAAATATGAAGCAATAAATATAAAATATTAGAAGATATTTTAGAAAAATATCAGTTTTACCTTAAGGTTGAGGAGACCTTCTTAATGAAAACCAAAACCTCAAAAGGCTAAAATGAAAAACTGGCATATTAACGAGGAAAAAAAAATGACATACTTAGGTGCTTAATAATAAATATGTACTAAATGCATGTGCTACTTTACAGAAACACAAAGAACAAAATGGGTAAAATATGAGTACCCCATACAGTGCACAGACCACTAAAATTATCACTGTACCCAAAGTGATTGTAAATTGGAGGTTAGGGGAGGTGGACAGGGAAGAAAAAATAATTCACATGAGTAATAACTAATGGCCAATATATGAAGAGATTTTAAATTTCAGTAGTGTCAAGGAAATGCATATTAAATCAACAATTTAATATTTCTCGAAGCAACTGGAAAACAATAAAAGGGGCAATTATACATGGGGGAAGGGAGACAGCGGTCAGTGTAAGATATGAAAATAATAATAATTTATAATTTATCAAGGATTCACAAGGTTAAGGGGCGGGAAAGAGGGGGAAAAAAGAGGAGCTCATACAAGGACTCAAATAGAAAGTAAATGCTTAGAAAATAATGATGGCAACATATGTACAAATATGCTTGCCATAATTGATGTATGGATTGTTATAAGAGTATTAAGAACCCCCAAAAAAATGATCTCTAAAAAAAATTTTTTAAGGTAATTATATGCAGCCATACACTCATACTGGTGGAAAAGTAAGTGAATATACATTACTGAAGTGAATGAATGAATGAATCCTTTTATACAACAAAATCACTATCAAAACTGCTCTCCAGAAACAGGTGTCCCTTCCCTTACAGAGGGTCGTGACGAGCCAGTCAGGGTGCAGTGTAGCAACAATGAAACATACAACTTTCCTCCAGTTCTTAAATGCTCCTGCCGGCCTCTCCCCCCACTATTATGATCCCAGTTCTACCTTACAAATCTGGCTAGACCAGAGGATGTACGCTGGTACAGATAGGAACTGGAAACACAGGGAATCCAGGACAGATGATCCCTT